TGATGGACAAAAATGCATAAACAATTCTGATCACTAGAAATTTATCAGGCAAAAAAACCCATCCATTCATTCATTAGCCATAACCTGTGTATCCTTTAGAGGGTCGTGGGGAGCTGGAAGCGATCCCAGCTGACTTTGGATGAAGGGCAAAAGGTGGGTTATACCCTGGACAGGTCACCAGTCTATCATGGGGCTTTAACCAAAGCATGACATTTTTTTCTGTTTCCAGCTTCTCAAATGTGAGAATTTCCTTCATTTTTTTCTGCTTTATATCCTTGTATCCTGAATAGCGTTGGGTTTGGAACTGCTGATCAGACATTAAGCTTTAACATTAAGCACTTTCACCATTTTCTGACAAAGAATGAATGAATCAATCAAAGAAATACTCAACAGAATCATCAATAACAAAATCACTAGTCGCCACCCTAATCAAAGCAAACACAATCAAAGCAGGCCCCTACACTTTGATGCCGCTCAAAGCAGAAAACCAATGAGTGCACTCCTTGTTTTCCTGAAGATAACAGACAAGTACAAGTAGATTTTGCAGCAGTTTCTTGAAGTTTCCTCAAAGTTCGAACCACTAATATGGCAGCTGTCAGGTTAAATTGCACCACTGATTCTAGTGCTAACAGGGAGCATAGGTGAAGTTAACTCTCCTCTACAGCATGACTACAACCTGCCAGGAATCTCACCTACCTGATGACAAGTGGACGACAGCATATAATCTTCATAAGCTTTGCTTCCTACTCCTGACCAGCTTTAACTAATTGAGGAGACAAAGTGAAAAAGACCCTTCACCGCTGTGATCTTGGCTGCACCTCAACATTTCTAACTCTTTCCGTCATGCTGTGCTCCCGTCGGCTGACTTCCGGCAAGACACAGAGATCTTCATGTCAGCTCCAAGCTGAGCTCTTGCAAATGAAGTCAGAGGAATGTGTACAACTTCTAAGTATCTGAAACGTCCTGTCTTAAACACATAATATCCGTAATACTTCCTGACATACTCTCCTATAACCTCTTATTCTGTGCCAGCTTCTGTGGGGCCTTTTCTCCCCTCTCGGACGCAGAAGAAAAGCAGTCTATTTTCTTGTCATACTTGGTTGAAAGGCGACTCTCAACTTGGAGTCTAATTTCCTGCACTTTAAAGACAGTCCACATGCAAGGTGCATTACCATGCTATCAAGGTGATGGGAGCAATTTCAAACTGTCAGTCAGTCATGGAAATATCAGAGACTTAATGTCTACTGCAATCTGTCAAGGCTCCTGTGAAGTGGTGGAGAGCATAATCTGAGTCTTATTCACTCAACACCATTTACTTGTCAGTGTAGCTCTGTTTTACTCTGGATGGTAGTTCACGATGAGATGACGATATAATATAGGCATATACAGACAGGAGACAAATGAAAGGAAAAACCTGAATAGATGAGTGGTCTCTTCCAGGATGACAGTGCCTCCATCTGTAAAACATGAGGGGTCACTGAACAGTTTGATGAGCACGAAAATGATATGAATCGTAAGCTATGGCCTTCACATTCACCAGATATCAACCCCATTTAACACTATGGGAGATTTTAGACCAAAGTGTTAGACACATCATCAAAACACCAAATGAAGGGATATCTGTTGGAAGAATGGTGTTCATCTCTCCACTAGAGCTCAGAGACTTGTAGAATCAGTGCCAAGCATGGGCAGATCCAGGGGGTGGCAGGAAACCACTGTGCAGCAGTGATGACCACACCAGGAGCCAGCCAGCCAAAGTTAGCCAAAAAAAGCACTGTGTGTATCTCATAGAACTATGGGTTTAATTTACTTCTTAAATTTCTCAATTGAGCCATCCCTCTTCGAGTCTGTGCCCCAGCAACGCCACCCCACCCAAAATTTTCTAGCTCCACCCCTGATGCCAAAGTGCACTGAAGCTGTTCTGGTCGCACATGGTGGCCCAGCACCTTACTTATCTTTAATTTGTCACCTGTCTGTATATATAGTTAAATGAAGACATCAAAGTGTGGCAGGTTTTAAAAATATATATGGAGAAAAAAGAAGACAATGTACAGCTGCTGCACATCAACAGCGAGCAGCTACATTAAAAATTCCATAGGTATTATAGCCTGAGTATCAAACTGCTGCATCTCATGATCCTACAGTTCTTGCCTCACAGACAGCAGTTAGTTAAGGCTGTTAATTTCCTGATAGACGCACCACTCTGGGTGACACACTGGGTGACACACTGGGGTTGTACTTAACTATTATTAATGTGACAGGCCTCAGTGCAAAGCAAATCAATTAAACAAGAGCAATCACCATAGTCTGGATAACGGCCTTTTAAGGCTGTTTTCATGTGACAAGGAGGTCCTCGATCCAGGCCTTTGCACAGGGACCTGACAGGTCAAGAAAGCGACATGAAACAATAGCACCTTCTAACCATCATCTCCCCTTTTTACCTGTCACATCCAGTCAGCTTGTGCTGACGTGGCGCCCCCTGTCCCGGCTGCCACGAGGTGAATTTTCATGTCATGTCAAGGGAATTTCGTATTCCATTTGCTCGACATTATAATACCACATTTATCAACCATATCCTTTTTTTGAAAGCTATATGTCAAGGGCTTTTGCACCTGAGTTTTTGTCGCTTTTCTAATAGTTTCAGTTACAGGTCCTTTGTGATGTTTTTAATGTACATGAGCAAGTCTAAGGAGAGCAGAATAATAGGACTGCTGCAGTGACTTACCTTCAGTGAGTGAAATTTCCACTGCTGCCTGCAACCTCCAAAGTGCCTGAAAAAGATAAGCAGATATCACAAAAATATTACTTTTAGGCTTCATCATGAGATCAGTTAATTTAATAAAACAAATACTGAAAAAAGTTCAAAAGTTGATTCAAAACAAACTGAATTTGATCCCTGCAGTGCAGATTAACTATCAGACTGCAGAGCTGAATTATAGAATACACAATATACAATTATACATTACAAAACAGTCATAATAGCAGTTCACGTCACTGAAACGTTATCGTTATACTCAGTATGTAATCAACTCCAAGCTGTTTATAACGCACACAAGGTGTTCTTTTGCACAGACAAACAAATAAAGACCAAATATTAAAATCTGTTTAAAAAGTCCTGCAGGAGGATGGAGGATCATCTCGTGCACCGGTTTGGCGTATTTAGATTTTATATGATCTTAAATAAATTCTAAGAAAACACCTTAAGAAGCAAAAACATAACTTTGACCTTGCAAGAACTAAAAAGAGATTCTGAAAACAATTTATACTTGTTGCCAACTCCTATGGTGTTTACCCAGTGTTTGGTTTATTGTCTTCTTTGGCCGGGGACAAGGGTAAAGATAAGGACATTCAATGGCTAACAGTATAAGAAAACAAAAAAATGCTTTTAAAGGACCATTACTGTGTTTTCAAATGTTTAATTAAAGACTGTGATTGACTGTGCTCAATAAAGAAACTATGTTGCAGTGAACCTGGAGTTCTGTTATCTTTTCCTTCATGACAGTGTGAGCTCTAAGGGAATTTTAAGAAAGGAAAAACAGACATAAATGATTTAATTTAATTAAAATATTAATTCTGAACCATTAAAAACCTTTAAACCCCAGATAGAAGCTTATGGTCTCTATAATCACTGACTTGAGGATCCCAGCCCTGCTTGTAAACACTTGTATTTGCACGGTTTCTGGGTGATTCATAAACGTGTCCTTGTGTGAAATACTAGCGGGACACATCAAGCTTTCTGCTTAAAAGTAATGAATTACGGCGACGAAAAAATGTGCAGCCATTTAAGGGTAAAGCCGAGAATTTGGTGTCTGCTGCAGCGAGCCATCCATCATGTCCACAATAAAGGAGTTTTTGCCTGACGCTCGAAATTTATGGTCGCCCTTCTCTGCCCTAATAACTCAGAGCCTGACAGCCATTGCCGAAAACAGCACTCTGTTATCAATCAAAAAACACTTGCATATGTTTAACTTTCGCCTGATCAGCAAGACATTTATAGGCTATTGAGTAATAAGATAAGTGGGTCTATTTCGATTTAAAGAAACGTGGAAGTCTTAATGATTAATGGCAGGCACAAGAGGCGTTTTTAAGCACTTTTAGAATAAAAAGAAGAGATATTTGGCTTGAATGTCGAGGAAATATGGAGGAATGGTTTTAATTTCCAAAACAAAAACATTTGAGAAATGACATGGTCCTGAATAAATATCAGTAGCGGAATTAATGCTCTGTAATAATAATAATAATAATAATAATAATCCTCAGTGCTCAATTAGGCAACCAACAGTTTGGAATTTTACCAGACCAGAGGCCTAAATGATAAGGGAGAAGCGAGTGGGAGGGACACGTCACTTCTCTGCACTTCTCCTCGATTCACTTTACAGTAGTTGACCTGAATCTGACTGAGAAGAATCAAAGAAAGAAAGAAAAAACATCTGCAGACAGCTGACACATAACTGGCTGCAGGACAGACAACTGACACATGACAGGCTGCGTGACTGAGGGAGAAGGTATCAGAAAATGTGGAACATGGCGATGAAGATCGGCGCATCTCGCTTGATTGTTTTTCTTCTCTTTGAATTCAATGATGACACGCTGTGGGTACAAAAACTCACTCCTGTGCAAATGTTTTACACACCAGACATTCTGGGCGGTTTAGTAATTGCAGTCAAGTTATTCATATGAAAATCACAAACTTTAAGTTAGAAGAAGGATTGTAAATGCGCAGTAATTTGCTAGATGTGCCCGTTTGCCCAGTGCTTTACAATAAATGCATATTTGACCACCGCGTGGAATAAAACCGTGTTAATACAATGCATCTTGTGCTTAGAAGACATAAGGAGGTTTTGGTCAGCTTTATGTCCTGGTTATCCTGATCCACCTTCCAAAAATCACACAGGGCGCAGGGGCGGCGCATGCGTCAAAGTGCCAATTACGTAAAGACGCTTATAAAAACTCAAGAAAAAAAAAATCTAAAGCGCTCTGAGAGAGTGAGATATGACAGACACCCGTTGTGAGGAGGAAACGTGACATTCCTTCGACACTCCAATCACCTCGGGATCTCTTTTTGATTGGGGGATGACAAAGGCTGCGATCTGTGGACATATTGAGGTAGTGCTGGAGAGGAGGCGGAGTGATATCTCCTGCACACGACGCATGTAAACAGAATCCGCTCTCGGACCCGTAGCCACACTGTCAGAGCGCAGCTGGGGAGGAAGCAACGCGGCTGAGAAAGGCACGGATTCCGCTCATACACTCCGCGTCTCTTAAGGATTTAACATTGTTTCTTTAAACTTCTGGCAGAGGCTTTAACCGTCTGACGTTTTCAGTGCTGGCTTTATTTACTCTACACATGTATTTCTCAGCCATTTCCACGAGAATTGGGTCATGATCACATCGCCCACGGTCTCTGTCCTGAGAAATAGCACCAATCCAGCGTGGGAGAGCGGCTCCTCGGGGGAGAAGGGCGCAGTGAAGATCAGCCAGCTATCCGTCTACAGCTCAGTTTCTCCCGCAGACCCTTCTCGCCAAGCCAGTCGTCTTCCCATAAAGATTTTGAAAATGCTCACGGCTCGGGCGGGACACATTTTACACCCGGAATACCTTCAGCCTTTACCGTCCACCCCTGTCAGTCCCATCGAGGTAAGCATGTTTTTTGTGAAAACGTTTGCGCACACTGGCACAAATTCGCTTCAGTGTTTCACTCTCAACATCGCTGGACACCAAAGCATCAAACCCGCAGTCACTGGGTGAATTCTATGGACAAATTAGAATAAATAACTAAAGGTTTTATTTAGACCGTGTGATTAATTTGACGACAGAATAACCCCGAAAACTCTCAATGTAATTTTTAGACCTGATTCCGAGTTGGTGCCTCAGATTTTTGGTGAGCTTGATTCTCTGCGTTAAATAATAAACGGAAGTGTTGGATTTAGATTCATTTAATACATGAATACTGTTTTTGTAGCAAACTGACGAACATGTTTGTAATGTCCTTTTTGATGCGTGGCAGTTGTACAGTCTTCTATCATATGTAAACCTGCATTGTCTGCACGTCCTCTCTTTACTTGCCAGCATTCTACCGAGTTGTTTTGAGTTTCATCCCGAGATAGGATTATGCGCAATGCGTAAACCTTGTGCGTATTTGCAAAAAAACATTATATATACACGTGCTTTTATGAATTTCAGTAATTGTGTTTTGTCTATTTCACAGCTGGATGCCAAGAAAAGTCCACTGGCTCTTTTGGCTCAAACGTGCTCTCAGATTGGCAAACCGGACCCGCCGTCCTCCTCCAAATTGTCATCTGTGACCTCAAATGGATCTAGTGACAAGGAGGCGAAATCTGGTCCGCTGAAAATGAGCGACATCGGAGCCGACGACAAATCAAGCTTCAAACCTTACTCCAAATCATCGGAGAAGAAGGACTCCAGCAGCAGCATCAGTGGAGATAAAACCAGTTTCCGGGTGCCTAGCGCCACCTGCCAGCCGTTTACCCCCAGGACAGGCAGCCCCAGCTCCTGCACCTCAGTTTCCCCACTCCCGTCTGAAGGCAAAGCGGGAGACAAGGAGGAAAAGAAGGAGTCTGATAGCAATAAAAATAGCACGACTGAGAGCAATGGCAGCCATCGGATAAGTGGAATTACCTCTGATGGCAGCCAGCATCAGGAGAGCACATCTGGATCCAAGACTGTTACATCAGACTCAGCGTCTGTAACGTCCTCATCCTCCTCCATCCTCGGCTCGGGACTGGTGGCCCCCGTTTCCCCGTATAAGCCCGGCCATACAGTTTTCCCCTTACCACCTGCTGGTATTTCCTATCCTGGAAGTTTAGCAGGTGCCTATGCAGGTTACCCCCAGCCGTTCCTCCCTCCTGGAATGACCCTTGACCCCACAAAATCCAGCAGCCAGCTTTTAAGCGCACAGTTCGCTGCTGCCAGCTCACTGGGATGCAGTAAAGCGGGAACGAGTCCCATAGCTGGAGCATCCCCGCCTTCACTAATGTCTGCTAGTCTGTGCCGAGACCCCTACTGCCTGAGCTATCACTGCACAAGCCATTTGTCTGGTGCATCCAGCGCCAACTGCGCACATGACTCTGCGGCTGCTGCTGCGGCCGCCACCGCGCTCAAATCTGGATATCCGCTAATGTACCCGACGCACCCGCTACACAGCGTGCACTCCTCGGCCCCGTCTTTCAGCGGACATCCCTTATATCCTTATGGGTTTGTGCTGCCCAATGACCCTCTGCCGCACGCGTGTAACTGGGTGTCTGCTAACGGACCTTGCGACAAGCGCTTTTCCTCCTCCGAGGAGCTCCTCAGCCACTTGCGGACTCATACGGCCTTTGCAGGTACGGAGAAGCTGTTATCTGGGTACCCGGGGTCATCTCTCGCTAACGCCGCTGCCGCTGCCGCTATGGCTTGTCATATGCACATGCCTCCTAGTGGCAGCCCAGGCAGCCCCAGTACGCTGGCTCTCAGGGGCCCCCATCACCCCCTCGGACTAGGCAGCCGTTATCACCCTTATTCAAAGAGCCCCCTTCCCACTCCAGGGGCCCCTGTCCCGGTGCCCGCGGCCACCGGGCCATATTACTCCCCGTATGCCTTGTATGGACAAAGACTGACAACAGCCTCGGCCTTAGGATATCAGTAGAGACAAAGAATTATACGTTTATAAAGGAGATTTAGGCCCAGTGAATTTTATATTGTACTTCATGCAGGGACTGAAGCCAAGTGGGGAAAAGTGTATTTATTTGCGATAGCTTCAAGCGTGGCTGAAATAAAAAATGATTATAATATAACTTTGAAAAGACTCAATGTGCATTATTTTACACAGGGTTATTTTACCTGTTGTGCATGAAAGAGCTGTTTCTCCAGAACATTTTTATTAAGCAATAACGTGGATTGTATTCCTAATGCTAAATCAGATGTTAGTCATGTAAACGTTTTTGTTTTGTTTTTATCTTCAGACATTTTAGAGGGCGGCTTGAGTGATTTGACAGAATGATGGATGTGGAAAATCAATCTGAGCAGCTTCTTCAAAACTGTCCTTGATTTATGTTGTGGGGGGGTGAAGCCGGCTTTTCCTTTTTACCTGGTTGCAGTGTCACACAGCTGTGAAACTGTTTCAAGAGGCTTATTTTCATTTTTAGGGATGACACTTAAAAATACACATTTACCCTTATGCATAAACTGAGTTAGGTCAAATGGAGTTTAAAAAAAGTTGTAATAAGAGGAATTTCTTGAGTTTATTTGTTTCTACTCAGATTTGTGTGTGTGTGTGTGTGTGTTATGTGCAATAGGATCATATAGACATGTGAAAGCTTTTTTTTCTTAAATCAGAAACATATGTTTAATTGATCCATATTTTGTTTCTGAGGCTATAGTAAAGACAAAGGCATTAATTTAAATTTACCAAGAATAATCATGGCAAAATCCAATTTGTTGCCTTTTGTAACTTTGGTTTTTGTCTTTTTATGTTTTAGTGCTGCCTGAGTTTTGCAAGGGGCCTACAGATGGAGAACTAATTACATAAATGCAGAAGCACTGCATGTTTCTATATTTAATACAAGGTCATATCCTAGATGAGTGAGGTTCTGTAAACATGTATGCTTTTATTTTATTGACTTGTGGGGACAAGAAGCTAAAACCACTTAATGTCTTGCTGCTGGAGCTACACCATGTGCAGTGTGTGTACTCAGATGCACTCTCTCTTGGGCTCATCAAAACATGCTGAATCTTCTCAATCATCAGGTCATGGGTTATTATTTCATTAACGAAGACAAACGAGCCGCTGCTATTACTGGAGAGCTGGCTAAACAAAGATTTACGATGACACCAGATGCGAGATGTTTCCACAGCTTCTGCGATCGCTGTAATGAAGCCGTGAAGCAGAGAGCATGAAATAAAGCAAGGCCTAACTATTTAATCAGCCCCTTAAAACAAATCAACTAAATCAAGCCAATGGTGTCATTATCCATCCTCAGTAAATCAGGCCGTTCTCCAGCAATAAAATCACCATCATTAACCGTCAGATGGCATATTCATCAGATCCACCCATCCATGTAGAGCAGTCCTAAACATAGCTCAGTGATAGATGATAATAAAGCCCCTTATCCACACTGCAGCCAGTCAGCCATGAAGGATCATATGTAATGCATGGTTTTCATGTACAGACAGCACATCAATGCGATTATGAACAACTGGGATTAAGCTCTATGAGCATCATTTCTAACCATTTAACTGATGTGTGACACTGTAGTATATAACATCACATATTCTCTAATGTACGAGTAGATAAACCAGTCATTATTCAGAAGGTTTAATTTCATAGTATCAGCTGGTGCATTCTTTTGAATCTCGGGAAGCACTAGAGCATCTGTGCTAGTTACATGTGGAAATTAATATTTAACTAGCATGTCTTGGATTGCACGGTGCTGCTTGTTGTGTGATACTCCTGTTTTATCTATTTAAAGTATATTTTCTAGTGATGGATTTTATAATATTAAGTTTGTTTAGCTTACACAGGGAGTCTCACTTAAATCAACAACTCTTTTTAAAAATCTAATAACAAATCACAAGTGATATGAGTCAGCACTTAGTTTAGTTGTATTGAAATTTAATACATGTTTATAATGTACTATATTGAGACACACATGTTTATGAATGTATTTGTCTGTAACAATAACTCCTCATGGACACTCCTTATGTGGAGGCTGCCATATAAACATAGATGAATGACAATGTAGTAAAACACTGTTAAAAAAGGTCTTTATAGGAGAAGTTATAATTCTTGACAAATATTGTACTATAAACCATTTGTTACTAGTTCTCATACTGCTTATAATTACTGAAAGGGAGGTGGGTAAACTAAAGTGTTACAGTGTCTCTAACGTGTTGCTATTATTAAATAAATACAGTATGTCATGAACTTGGACAGCAAGGCTTATAAGTGAAAACAAACTGTAGGGATGATGTTTTGGTAAATGAAATTCAATGCTAATCCACAATACATTAAACAATAATGTATTGTTCTGTTTGTAAAAATGAAGAAGTTGCTCAGTTCCACCACAAGAATCATTTCTGAATTTTTAGGTTACTATTGAAGTGGGTTTAAATTAGTTTAGTATACAGTTATATTACCATTTGGTAATGCACAAGACTGGGAACATCAGTTTAAAGTCTTTGGAATTTAGAATTTATAAAACATTTAAAGACCTCTAGACCAGAGGTCAGTGGGGACAGATGATGCATCATGTGAGTGGAGGTAATGTCTCTCTACTGGATTTACTGGCTTCATAAACAGTAGGGTGATAAATGAAGGGAAAACCAACATGAAATGTCTTAGTAAGGTGTCAGGCCACCATGTGCCACCAGAGCAGCTTCAGTGCTCCTTGGCATTGACTTTACACGTTTTTCTAATGGAGGGATGAACACCATTCTTCCAAAGGATATGTATGCCCTCATTTGGTGTTTTGATGGTGGTGGTGGAGACACCATCTAACACATTGCTCCAAAATCTCCCATAGGTGTTCAGCTGTGTTGAGGTCTGGTGACTGAAGGCCATAGCATATGATTCACACCATTTTAATACTCTTCAACCAATTCAGTGGCCCGTTTGAGCCATGTGGATGGGGGCACTGTCATCCTGGAAGTTTTCCTTTCATTCGTCACCCATCTACACAACAATCCTAGTATGGTATAGTCTGTCAGTCTTCTCCTCTTCACATCTTTCTCACAAGTTTGATGTGAAATACCACCAGTACATGAGACGCTGGATGACTTTGTGACCCCATGCTGAGTCACACAGATGGACCCACCTGTTCTACTTTAACCTGCAGCATGAAGAAGATTTGTGGCCTTTCACCTGAGGGGTAACAGGTCCAAACAGCAAAGGCCCATTGCAGACACATGTTATTGTTAAAATGGTCCCTTTTGCACAGCTGCGTGCCATGTGTCCATGTGTGTTTGTTATGGTTGAAGGCCGTGGACATCACCACTATGCTGAGCTGATATTTCTTCAAAAATGCTAAACAGGTCATGTATGAGAACACACTTTTCACAAATCAGACCTGATGAAGCCTCTTGGATGAGAGGTGAAATGTCTTCGACCTAAAAACTTAGTCCAGTTGATTTTTCTTTTTTTCAGCTTACTATGACCTGGATGACTGAGAATCTGCGCAGACACTTTTCACAAATAGGTTCATGCATCAAATAGACACGTGAACCAGCTTTCAAACACTTGTTATGCATGTTGTAGCTATATAATGAATTTAACACCCTTTTGTCAGCAATGTTAACAATCCAATCAAGGGATTTCCCTGTTGGTACATGAACTTCTCCTGCTTTGAATAAACCTTCCTCAGTGCTTATGTACTCTGGAAAGGCAGAAGGAGCTTTGTTTACAGATGCAAAAGAAAATCAATGACCTTTTGCATGTTCAATCAGTTGAGAAGTGTGTCTTCCATCATCCTGTGAAACAGTGTGGTTTATTTTTGCAGGAGAAAAGCTTGTGCTCCTCCAGACAAGCCCCATATTTATCATCACTCCATCATTTCCTCCCTTTGACAAGCAAAGTAAATAGTAAGAATGCAAAGCTTAAGCTGGGTTTTCTGAGCGGCTGACCTTGGGATCTTGTCTTTTTCTATTAAGTCTAGTGAGGCATCATAAAATTCAGGAAGTGAGCTTGGTACACTGAGATTATCTTAATGTGGATAACTTGTGTGCATTCAGTATACTCACAATAAAGTGTCTTTTTGAGTTATAAGCCAGCGGATGGGGAAACTGCGAAAAGGAGAATTTTCCCTTGAAGAAAGCCTGTCAACACACAAAGCAAAGGAAAGAACAACAGTGAGTTAAACAGTGGGCCCTTGTCTTTCAGTGCTCAACATGCCCTATAATTTACACACCACTGACAGGGGCCATTTTGAAGTCTGTCATAGGCAGCAAACGTTTCGTCTCCAAATGTCTTGCTCACAGTGAGCAGACTCCTGCTAGAGTCTGGGTGATTAATGACTTATGGCCTTATTGTGCGGAGGTGGCTAATTAACTACAGGCTGACTGAAAAGGCACACTAAGAAAACCCGCCTCTGATAACCTTAACTTTTTCCCTCCTCGTCTTGGCATGTGGAAGCTCTTACTGACAAATGTGCAAGGAGCAGACTAACGTTGAGCAAGATGAATGGCCTCTGAGAACAGTAAACAGCCTCTAATTTAACTGCGTTTAAATGTATGACACACTGGCATTGTGCTTCTATGCTGTTCGTGCTTTCTGGTTGGGAAACGCAGCCAAAGTTTTCCCCCGCTGTTGGTTTAAAATTAGGCTTGGCATATTCATGGAGGGACTTTCAGGATACTCGGGCTGGCAAACATGTGTTCATTGCCTCTTTAAGTTTTCCGCAGTCCCTTCAGCCTGACGTTCTGAGACAAAGACAATCAGTTTCTTGAGCAAACTGAGCAGGAAGCCAATGTGAAGGGGGATCTGATACAGTCATAAGGAAATAAAATACAGCACTTTAGTGGAGCCAGCAGAGGACGCAGACAAAGAAAACATTATGTTGCACACCAGCATTAAAACCAAAGCACCACAAGCTGTTCCTTAAGGTCAGCGGCTCGTTGTACTAGTCACACGACTGGCCAGAAATCGTGTAGCCATCCTCTCCACTTTATCTCTCCCTTTATTAGGTTTGTTAACATACTGTATTGCCATGTTTGCAGTCATGTCGACAGGCTAACTTAATCAAGTTACTATCGAACTCATGTGCTTTGC